ACTGAAAGCCATCCATTGTCGCTAAATTAATATTGCTCTGCAAAGAAGAGAAGTTAGATTAGTTCAATATTAGGTGATGGTGAGCTCATACTTTGTCTTTGATAAGTTTGAGATTGGTTTTTGTATACCAGAAACACTTTTCTGGCCTTTTTGGAAGAAATTTCAGAAAGGTACAAAAGGTTATATTGTCCCAAAAAGAAATAATTTTTACAATAATATTGCTATTTCTTTATTAATTATTCAACAGATTTCTTGCCAGGTTTGGTAGTTCAAACTAATTTTCTGTTTTTTACCCATAGTCTACCTGAAGAAAATATTATTATATGATTCAAATAAATAATATCCACGAACAGGAGGTCAATCATAATCATAATCTGTCACATCTCACATGAGTCTACTAGTCAAAGCAGGGACAAGCACCAATATGAATGGGGAAAATATATAGTGCATACGCTTTAAAGAAATATTTTACAATTTAACTACAATGCTTGACATTTAAGAATTTTAGGAAAATGTCTGTCTGAAATGCCGTAAAATAAGTAATGCGATGGATTGGTGACCTGTCCAGGGTGCAGCCCGCCTCTCACTCAATGATTACTGAAGATGGGCTCCAGCCCCTGTGGCGACCTTGTAAGGATAAACGTGTTAGATAATGGATGGATGGAAGTAAATATTAAATAATCAATTAACTTATATGCAATACTTTGAGAAAGGGACAAAATGGAAACAGGTGATTTCACCTTTTGATCTTCAAACTTTCATTCATATTTTTAAAACAGAAACACCAAAGATAAAAGGTTTAACAGCATAAAGTAGCACAACTGATTGACACCACTTTTGTCTGTTTAAACCCGACACACTGCGATTTCAAAAATCAAACAGAACCTGAATAATGCACACTGTGGGAGAGCAATATGCCACATTGCTCAATGGATGATACCAGTCTGCATGACTAGCTGCTGCATCACAATTTCATCAGACAGGCCCAACTGATATATCAGTCCTTTTACAAATTGACCACAAGTTGTGGATGTTAATGTACTATCATTAGAGGGGGGCAGTGAAAAGCAGGAGAAGAGGAGGAGGGAAGAAGACAACAGTAACTGCTCTTGGCTATGCAAAGAGGACAAGAATCGAACACTAGCGGTCAAAAAGTACAATTTCCCCCAGAAGAGACCGCTTTATATTTGTCCTAGGTTGCTTCAGATTAATGAAGGTTTCTTTATCACAACAAAAAATTTGGTCTACAGCAGCCAATGATCACATGGTTTGATCCTGGCTTCAGGTAACGTGTTAGTGTGGTTGAACTTTTACTGATCTTCATACTTTCAGGAATACCTTGAAAATATAACAATGCAAACTGCACTTTTTGCAGCACCAATCATCACAAATGTTTGACACCATTTTTATCAACTTCTTAGGTTAGGCTAAGAGGTGAAGCTGTTTTGACTTCATATCAATGAACCCAAAATGAATCAAAACAGGCCTCAAAGGTCAAGACACTTAGGCCCTGTCTAAGTGTCTTGACCTTAGACAGGGCCTAAGGTGTTTATTATATAACACACACTATGTTTTATTTAATAAAAAAAATTGTGATAAGGGAGCATTTTTAACACAGATGTATTCCTTATTTATTTTGAACTACATGTAGAGAAAGGTGCTGCATGAAGTGACACTACTGAAACAAGACATTTCTGTCGGGATTTCAGTTTTCTGTGTGCTTATGTTTGGTTTTCTGTTTATTTAGATCTGTGTTTCTTGTGAGTCCCTGTGTCTTCCTGTCTACTCCCTGATTGTTTCCTAGGTGTGTCTCATCTCATTGATTACCCTCCGTGTATTTAAGTCCACCAGTTGTCCTTGTACAGAGTATTGTATCTCGTTTGTCAGTCAGCCGTCACAGTCGAACTGGGAAGTCCATTAGCTCATTGTGTCAGTCTTTGTTGTTTTCAGTTGCTACCGGTGCAGAGCCTCTGTGTTTTCCGCTCTGCCGTGCTGCATGAGATCTGGACTGTTTGAGCTATTCTATTCATTAAATTCATCATCATTTATCTACATCCTGGGTCCTCCTGTGTTCTCTCTCACCACCAAAACCACATCATGACAATTTTATGTTTTCATTTCAAGTTAAATTTTTGTAGAACCCTGCTCTACTTTTGGATTGATACCAATGTCAGAAATTACAAACATTCTTGCAGTCCGGACAGCCCACCGGCTGTCTGGACTGCAGCAATCTCTAGAAAGAACATAGAAAACGATCTGTGATTTTTCACACAGGCACAACAGAATGAAAGACTGTGATGAGCAAGAGAGATGTTGCTAAGGGGTGGCCATCAGGGGAAAAAGAGAAATCGAGCGAGAAAGGTGGTTACAAAAAGAATGAGAGGTCTCATATAAAATCCTGTAGTACACAAATTCTGTAATGAATTGCTCTCTCACATCGTCTGCCTTCACTGGTGGTACTACTGCAACTCGACAAAGAGAACTAGATTTTATAGATTTCAGATACACACTTTGTGTGTTCAAATAGTCATAAATGATACATGCTGAAAATATTCATAAATATAGGCTACCCATATATTCATAATATAGCAAGTATTTCAAGTGAATGCTATCTGTCTTGGTTAATTATTTTTGAAAATAAAGATGTCCTTGTACATTATTCTGTTGGAACAATATGATTTTTGATGATTGACTCTGGACTTGCTCTGACATCTACTAAAAATTAGCCTGGCCATCATGGCTTTGCAGCATCATTCACTCCTAATCAGTCTGGGCTTTCTCCCATTGACTTGGATTACTCCAGCACAATTTCTACTGGGCCAGTCAGCAAGCAGAAGGAGTGAACTATAATATTGATTTTCTGCTCTGTTTTCACATTGTCGTCTGCCTGTAGTTTTAGCAGTGGCAGTGGAAGAAGTGAAGGAAGCCGTTCAGTTCATGTCGGTCACACTTCTAAATATTAAATTAACATTAACAGCCGCTTCATTCAGATCAGCCCTTCTCTCTTTGCTAAAGCTAAATCTGGGGTGCTGCGGTGGTGCAGGGCAGAGTGAGCTACCTATGTGCAGAGGCCTCAGTCCTCAGTGTGGCTGTGACAGGTTAAGGTCGCGGCCCGTTGACCTTTTGCTGCATGTCTTCCCCCTCTCTCACAACCAGCTTTCCTGCCTGACCACTCTCTGACAAAGGCCAGTAGAACTGATGAAATCTTTTTTTTTTTCTTTAAAAAAAAAAGAAAAAAGCTAAATGAGTGAAACAAACATAGGAACAAATGATTTGAACAAAGAACCTAAAACACAAAGTAATGATGGACAGAATAACTTGTGATATTAAGATCTCCTTGGAGAGCTATTATCTTAATATCACAAGCATGTCAGGATCATTTTATTTATGTGTATTGTTTTACATGCTGTGGAGGAGAACTTATTGTGAAGCTGAAGCCAGGAAAAATTATTCATCTGTTTCAAGTTTTTGTCTCTTTTTCAAAGAAAAACATCTGAAACGCTGTAACAGGGAAACAACTGATTAAAGCAAATGATCAGGAATTAAATGTTCCTGGAAACCACAACAGAGAACCAGCATGTGCAACATCTGGATATCCCCAAAGTGGGGATGAAACAATCACAATTACAGCTGTGAAAGAGTAATGAAATATTTTTTACATGTCAGCTTAATTGCATGTCACTTGTCTAAATATGTAAGAAAAATATAAACGGCACTTAATATATTGTTGAAATTTTTTAACAGGTTTCTTTGCACAAATTAAACAGTAATTTTTTTTACACCTGCTTGCAGAACTGTTCTAAATCTTACACAACGGTTTTATTATCTTATATTTCCACGTGTTGGGAAATAATCACTTTGCTTGGCCATCAGTATCTACTAATAAATACTCAAGGGGAATTATTAATAAAACTGAGTGATTTTTGATTGAATTACCATGATGGAGCATCACGAATCAATATTCAAACACTTTCACTCTGTGTAGATTATTGTTGTGTAAGTATCAGCCTGTATGAGGTGTGATGGAGCATGGAGTGAATCCAAGCACTCTGTACCTCTAAGACATGGGGTAGATTATACAAGATTTTTTTTCTTCAATTTGCTCCTTTTCTTTCAAACCTTTTGTTTATGGCAGCTGTGACATGGTAAAAACAAAACAAACAAAAAAAAAATACTGGTCATTGACCTGTATTTGTGTAGCGCTTTATCAAGTTCTGTTTCTTCAGAGAAGGGGACTTCTTTCACCTGGCCAGTGACACCTAGCCAGACATTTTATCTGTCTAGATTTCTAACAAATCATAGATGTAAAACATATGACTGGAATTTTTAGTTCTTATCTCTAGTGCTTGTTTTTAGCTCTATGATGTCATGGTGGATCCTCTGTTCTGGTAGCACCCGGCCTCAGCCAATGATAATTCACACCCAGGAGTAAAATTGTATGCATACAGGGATGTGAAGTTACTCACATTCTTTGCTCTCATGGTTGATTAAAAAAAATGTTGTTACACAACTGGTGCATTTCTCAGTATGTCAGACCAGTTCAATTGTTTAGTTCCTTAAAGCATGATAAAAACATTCAGAACTTTCCCAACCAACTTACAACCTCCCTAGGTTTCTTGTGCTTGAAGCCTTCCAGATGAGAAAGTTGACCAACACAGTACCATTAGAAATCACTCAAAAAGGTCAGCCACTCTTTGATTATTGTGATTAGGTTCATTGTCCCAAATGACAAACAAAGCTGAGCTCCAACAATGAGGTCACGCTTCACCTTCCCTTTACCACTTAAGTGTGCTGGATTGGTGGAAAATTGTGGAAAGGTCACTCTCAGCCAGCCCCATGGAACAGTGCATCCCGGGCTGACTGGTTGGTCACAGCTTTCTGTGTCGGGATAGGGAAATGCAGTAAAAAATTAGCACATTGGTAGTTTGCTTAATCAGCTTTTCAAGAGGTAACAAAGAAAGAAATTCATCCATGCATCCATTATCTTCCGTTTAACACAGGGTCAAGTCAGGAGGGCAGCAGCCTTTAACGGAGTGGCCCAGATGTCCCTTTCCCCACCTGGGTCAGCTCCTTCCAGGAAATCTCAAGGTTCCAAGGCCAGCTGACAAACATCGTCCCTCCAGCGTGTCCTGAGTCTTCCCATGGGTCTCCTCCTGGTGGGACATGTCTGGCACACCTCAACAGGGAGGTGTCCAGGAGACAATTCATATGTTTGGATCAAGCCTTTCCCTATTCCAACAGGCTCAGACATCTTGATTAAGTCGCACTCATGCTGTATGAAGCTCCTTTATAAGTGTTCACATTGCTGTTTTATAGAAATAAAACAGCAATGTTTTATTTCTATAAAACATTGCTGTTTTATAGCAATGTTATAAAACAGCAACAAAAAATTGCTGTTTTTATAGAAATAAAACAGCAATGTGAACACTTCAGATTTTCTCTAACCACTAACACTAAATGTAATTTTTCATGTTATCCATTTCATAGTATGGAAAATAAAAATGCAAATAAATTTCAGCTTTTCCAGGTGTAGTATTTACTTTAAAGAGAGTTATGATTTAAGTGTGTAGTTGTGGAGAGTAGCCTTTTCCTCTCCAATATAATTAAACACTAACTCTTGTAAGGGGCAGTGATATCCATAATGCCAACCTTCAGCACATAAAAGCCATAAACACAAGACAAATGTTCATCAGCTGCACAAGTGAACAGTAATCAATCATGTGACTGAGGAAAGATTATATTCTGTGCAGGAGAGTGCTGATGCTGACATAAGGATATAAATGAATGCATGCTAATTGTAAGAAATTTCCCTTCACAGAAGCACACAAACAGATGAAATATACTGGCCTCATCTAAGAGGAAAGAGAGAAGGAATTGTGATGGATCAGCAGCAGATCTACTAGAGAGAATGGAGCTATTGGAAGTACAACAGCAACACCATGTGGCCATGAAACACAACACCTCCAGCCCTGAAGAATTCATCAGGTAGAACCTGTATGTACAAAGGCAGGTTCAGAAGAGCTCTCTTCAAGCAGTTTCTGAAAGATTTCATGACACAAGAAACATACTATCATGGTCCAGAGAAAGAGCACATTGTTTCTGCTCAGGGTTTAACAGGTCAGGAGGTAAAACATGTGGATATATCCAGGTTCTAATTTCATTCATCCCCACTTTTATTCTAATCTTAACAAAGCAAAAAGTATTCCCTTGTTGCCTCTTTGAGTAAGTGGGCAGTTTGCTGTTCTGGAGCTTTCAGGTGAAGATTAGAACAAGTCAAGGAGGAAAGTCTTTGTGCTTGATTTTAAAGAAGAGCCTTGTCGCTAAACATATTTCAAAACCGTTTCAAAACTAGCTGAAGTCAATCAAAAAAAAAAAAAAGTTATTTCTCATGAGACAACCATAAAGTTCCCTGCACTAACATATTCTAGTAGTCTCTCTTACCTAAAGGGCAGGGCCGTGCAGAGACCACTAAAGGGGCGGGTGCTCTAAAAAAAAGGGCACATCTAACCGCATTCTAGGACAGAATAT